AGGTCTCTTGGCTATGATTGCTTTTGGGTCTCTTGGCTATGATTGCTTTTAGGTCTCTTGGCTATGATTGTTTTTAGGTCTCTTGGCTACGATACATGTTAATGAATCACCGTGTCTTTTTTTTATTTTGAAGTTTTAGAAGTATTTTGTCTTTGTTAGGAGGCTATGGATAATTTTTTTATAAATTATTTCGAAAACGGAAGACTTTGGATCTTTTAGGTCTCTCGGCTATGGCTGTTCCAAAGAAGGAAAAACATACCGGGAAACACACGGGCAGGAGACCTAAGAACACGGGGATCTCTGTAGAAATCACATGTTCCAAAGTGAGTCAGGTTGAGACTTAAGAAACCGTTTTTTTTTCTCGAACGCGACTCGGAGACATATCCAAAAATCTTGAGTGACTGAATGATTGTCGATTGGCCACTGGAAAGAGGAATCCACATTATTTATAAATACTTTTCTTCAGCTAACGTTGGGACTTGGGAATACTCTCTTGGGATTGGATAAGTATAACCCCTCTTTTTGTTTTGTTTCTTTTGCTTTAAAAAACAAATATGTACAAATGTACATCCTGTATTTGTATTGTTTTTTGTTTTTTTTTGGTTCTTTAATTTTTATAATTATACAAACCCAAGGCCAAAACCAAGAGACCTGCAAAGCACAAAACCATCAATAAATACCAAGGTTCAAATTTTTACCCCCCCCCCCCCTCACAAGTCACAACTCGCACTCAGACCCACGCCTCACGGAGTCACGAGTCGCGACGACTCAGTCTCTCTCTCTCTCTCTGTGTCTCGGAGACTCGGCCTCTCAAGTCTCAACTTCTCAAGTTTCAACTTTCAAGTGACAGCCTCAGGCCTCAGCCGGTCAGGCCTCACTCTTGTCGCTGCCCCTCAGACCTCAGTCCTCAGACAGGTTTCACCCTGAATTTTATTTTATTTTAAACAATAGTCGCTTTCAATATGGCTTTTTTGAAACAAACAGATTAAATTTTACAATCTGTATAAATACATACAATTGGAGCAAGTGGGAGCAAAAAAATTATTAGTATTTACTATTTTATTTACCCGTGTGTCACAACTGACAACTACAGAACACGCCTTTAGGCTGTAAATGAAACATCCATACCACATGAAAAGATAAATCGATAATAGTGGACTTCTCTCTCTCTCTCGATTTACTACATAGTATAAATACCGCTGTCTGTCGTACCACAGCATCATTTCGAATAAACAAATCTTCAAGATGGCCACCCAACAATTTGATTACACTAAAGCACTGAAGAAGGCATTTGGCTTCAGCCTTTTCTTCGTTCCAGGCCTAATCTTCCTCCTTGTCCCCGCACATTTCTGCTATATTCTGGTCTGCAAGTTCAAATACGAGATGGATGTAACCGTGCTAGATGCCGTGCAATTGATGCTGTTTGGGTTTACGCACTTCAAAGATATGCAGAAGCGAAATGCCAAGTCAAAGGGAGCAGATTCAGCATCGTATGCGGCAGCGACGCGAAAAAACTTATAGTATGTGACGCGGCATAATGTGATCATGTCACTTCAGCTGGAACTGCATGCTCTCGATGCTTTTAACAGCTCTGCTGAAGGCATACTAGAGAGCACCGAACTAAATGAAAAATGTTTCTCTACGCGAACGCTTGATTTGAAATCACATCCAGGGATCAACGGAAGTTAGACTGCCTGTGCTTTTCTCAACGAAAAGTGCCGGAGATGAATGTATGAATGTGAAACACTTGTTATTGCAAGGATTTCAGAGTGCCATGCGAATAAAATGTTGAATGCTTGATTGAGGTTATACACTTATGTTGATATACATCGCAGATATAGTTTCCTCCTATACAGGAATTCTCGAGACGGTCTCAAGGATTTCTTGTATGTTCAGAGCTCATGCAAACTGGGGGTTGGCCAGGTACGAAGAGTATATATTTAATAGTGTAGTCAACATCCAAAGAAGATGCTTGGTATATTTTATGTTCTGCTTTAGCTATCGAGTCACATGATAACCCTGATTACGAATCGGTACATTCTTATGACGATAATGCTTGAACGAATCACGAATCCTGGGGAAAGCTGAAAGCAAGAGTATACCATTGTTTATACTAATTATATCAGAGATAATGAGAGATGACAGGTTCAGTAAATTCAGTTTCTTCCTAATGAAGAAATCTTGTGATTTTGCCAGAAGGGCTATTAAACAACGTCCTAAATTGAAATGGTAAGTTTGTGAGAACTTGAGAAGGGACAAAACTATTTTATACGCATTTATGTAGTTAATTCTTATTTGTAAGGTCAACTCAAAGTCCAGTAGGTAAGTAAGAACGAGTGTATAGTGGAAGGCAGTATTTAGTCGGGAAACTCATGATAGAAACTCCACTTGTGATAACAGTTCATAAAAAACCCCCCTTCGAAATTGAAGTAAAAACTGATGGCATGAAAGTTCCAAAAACTGTATGTAAAAACATAAATATTGTTCAATTTATAAGGCTATGTAAAAATTGCGAAATATACAGAGCAAGTGGGAGCAAAATACGTGAAGTCGTGAACGTTTCACGGAAATTATTTGAATATCAAAACAGGGCCTCCACACGTCCATGTTCAGAAAAACACCGCTACCTGTTGCACTACCGGTCTACCGCCAGTTCGAATTCTTTCTTCAAGATGGTCGATCAACTGAATGATGATACGCAACATTCTCTTACTAAATCACTGATGAAGGGATTTGCCTTCTGTCTTTTTCTCGTTCCAGGCTTAATCTTTCTTCTTGTCCCTGCACATATCGGCTACATTGTGGTCTGCAAATACAAATACGAGATGGATGTAACCGTGCGAGATGCCGTTCAACTGATGCTATTTGGGGGCGTACACTTCGCCGATATGAAGGAGCGACATACTCTATTAACGGGAACAGCGGCATCGGCATCAAATGCGACAAGGGCGCGGAAAAACTTATAGCATGTGCCATGGCCTCGTTATCTTGCTCACGCTGGTTTCGGTTATGACATCGTGCTCACGATGCATAACAAACTACACTCACAGCCAGGACAAAATCAACGGAAATGAAGGACAATATTACCCTACACGAACGCTGCATTTAATTGTATTCAAGGGTAAAAGGAAGTGAGACTGCCTGTCCTCGTCTAAATAAACTGTTCTGTACATAAGTGTGATGCCATGTTCTTGCGAGAGTTTCAGAGTGCCTTGCGAATAAAAAGCTGGTACTTGTCCGTAATGCACTGGTACAGAAATTATAACACTCCCTCAAGTTCTACTTTAATAGACGAACAGTCCAACCTTTCCAGGGCTGTTACATACGTACTTACTAACGATTCAATACAACCTATCCCATAGCTGCTTCACTACATCCGCGCCGTGACCTGTAGTAGCTGCAAAGTCACTTGGTGACCAGGATCCTTTCAGTTTCTCAAGATCTCCAATATAAATATATACATTTGCTTCGATGTCTGAGCTATTCTCGGGTGTGTCAGTATTATTGGGCTCTACTAGGCTGACTGAAACAGCTGTCCGAACGTATTCCTGTTTTAGAATATAAAGCAATTTGACTCGGTTAATTACTATATCCGATATTATTTCTTAGTAGATAATCTTTTGAAGTCCTGTGGAAAACGGCATACAAAGTGCATACAACTACATACATCATATAAGTATTATGTACCTCTCCTTCAAATTCATCGAGTATCTGTATGTCTTCCGCGGAAACATCGAAAACAAGGCCTTCGATGCTAGTGCCCGCCTTCGAAATCAGACCTGCACCATCCAAGAGGAGAATTATATAGTTTCAGACCGCGGGGTATCGCTTCTCTAAATCTAACATCTGAGCAATCACTATACAAGCAGAATATGGGAATGATTCCACCTCTGGTGTATTGAAGGAAACCAACCCCATCTGATCTTTTGAAAAGTCAGGTGGACAACAAAAAAGAAGGGGTCTTGTAAAGGCGTATATTATATTTCGAGTTATGCCAAGCTTGATTAAATCTAATAAGTTCGCCTATACATTCCTATTTCAAGTGTATAAACGAAGAAGCACAGCACCTGGGTAGATCTCGCCATCGACCGCAAAGCGTGCGTGGTCGCACAGGACAGCTCTCCTTTGTGGTCCTACGACATGGCCCAATACAGATTCTAACACAGGTTTATGTGTCAGCGTTCCATAAACAAATGCACGCATTCTTTGATTTTGATGCTCCACGACGCTTATCACTTTAGCTTGTCCTACTTAGGTGTGTACGACAACGCTTCTGGATATGTTGGATTGCGATATGATTCACCTGAGCCAGTAGTATATCGTTCAACGGACGTGTGAACCAACACAAATTTGAAAATCGTCATTTTTATTCAGCAGAAAATATTTACAAATATCCCAAAAAATCTTGAAAATCTTGAAGATTGACACATAATTTTATTTTGTTTTTTGAATAGTATGCTAAAATATTCAGGATATAAAAGGTACCGAACGTTCCACCTGTTGCGATTTGATGGTCCGTCGATCCCGAATTCCCGATTTTCGACAACCTACGTACGTATCTCAGATTGCAGAAATTGATAGCCTGCACAAAATCACTATGACTCACAATGAGTCAGTTACCCGTACACAGATATGTGTGAGTGGTTGGCTGATGGGTGTGGAATGCTGGACCTGGTTGATAGTTGATATTTACATCCACATATATTGCCTATGCAGCATCAGCGCGGGGACACATTACACGTGTATGTTACGCTGAACACGTACTGCTACTCAGTTTAGTGCGTACTGCACACGACTAGACTGTGCTATCGTTAGTACTGAACTGTCTAGGGGGCACGCAAACTTCTTTTTGACCACTTGTACTGAAAATTGCGTTTATTTCATCGCCATAGTAACCACGAAGGTGCTGTTTACAGGTTTTCCATACGTGAATAGCATGGTCATTAGATTATCACACTTTCGCGTGCAATAATACGTCACAACTACGATGAACGCGAATACCACAGGAGTCGCAGATAATGTGACTGAGACTGTCACAGAGGCCGCCAAAACAGTCGGCAGAGCAGTGTCAACGGTCATCGGTGTGGTTCCCGATGAGCACACCGCCGAGGAAACTGTGTTAGAATGGCAGCATTTCCTGGAGATAGTATCTGGTCTATTTGTCTTAGCGTCCCTTGTCATTTCCGGATATGGCATATACAAGCATCTCGTCTCATACGTACACCCAGAGCGGCAAAGGCGTGTGGTGCGCATACTAGGGCTGGTTCCAATCTACTCCTTAGATTCATGGTTTTCTCTAGTGTTTGTTGAGGCTGCTCTATATCTCGACACTCTCCGCGATGTGTACGAAGCCTATGTGCTGTATCAGTTCTTCCTGTTGTGTGTTTCTTATCTGGGCGGTGAAGCACAAGCCAAGCTAGTACTCTCACGAAAAGCAGACATGGCGCATTCATGGCCCATGAACTACTGCTTCTCGCCCATCCAGACATCGAGCCCGTATTTCTTCCTAAATATGAAGAGAGGTATCTTGCAGTTTGTTGTGCTAAAGCCGTTGGGTGCCATCTTCGCTGTAGTAGCCGAGGCCACAGGTGTATACTGTAATGGAGAATGGAAGTTTAATTGTGCTTACTTGTACCACACCATCCTGATCAACGTATCCGTGTCGATCGCGCTGTACTGTCTGATTTTGTTCTACAAAGCCACTAAAGAAGAGCTGACTCCATGGAAACCGCTGTGGAAGTTTCTGTGCATCAAGGCCGTCATCTTCTTCTCCTTCTGGCAGGGAGTGTGCTTCTCGTTCATGATTGGTGTGGGGCTGATTCGCAATGTCGGCTACTACTCCACCGAGTATCTCTCCTACGGTCTGCAGGATTTCCTTATCTGCATAGAGATGTTGTTCATCGCTGTTGCACACTTGTTTGTGTTCAATCCCGAGGAGTATATCGACACCTCTTCCGGACGCCCGCGCTCCAAGGAGTACGCCGTCCGCGATGTGTTCGCTATTGGTGATGTGGTCCAGGACACGCGCGAAACGTTCAATATTATGCGTCCAGCATACACCGCTCTGGAGACCACAGACCTCCCAGATGCGGCGGTGATCCGAACCATGCGAGGCAATTCCAACGACAACTCGGAATTCTACCAATTGAATAGCACAGACAAATCAGGCACGAGTACGTTCGATAACATCGGCACCAATGCCGCGGAAGAGCTGGAGAGCTGGGGCGATAATAGGCCGTCATCAAGGTCACGGAGCTATGGGGGTCTGGGTATGTCCGGGTGAGCTGGCCTGACAATTTAGTAAATTTAGAACAAGGTTCACAAAAGCAAGCACGGCGCAGCGGAGCGCTGGGTGGTTCGGTGTGCACTCGTGAGCTAGTTCACTGGTTGGTGTTGTGTATCGGGAGAGCGGAGATTTCAAGTCCTTTGGAAGGAGATTGGGATATGAAGTTGATAGGGAAGGGTAGGAAGAACCGAGCCGCTTGTACTTTAAGCCGTATTGCAGCGATGATGATAGTTTTAGGTACATATCACGCCTTCGTGACTCAAATTGTAGTACAGGGGTCTGGCAAACTTTTCAGGAGCGGCTAGAATACCGTATACTACCCGCCTTATCAGGACTACAGATGCGGTATGTGCCATCAACACCAAACGTTAAACGTGCGCGAGTGTTATTGCAGTTTGTAACTAGGTAGCTGCTGACCCGGCGTGTGACCGAGATCTAGTATCTGCGTATGTATACGTGTGCTCTCGCATGATGTATGGTCATTGCTGCGAGAGAGAACGACCTCGGGCAGGCCGTACTGTTAATAGTCGTCCCGGTGTAATGCATAGTGCTATGTAAATATTCAGCCGTCTAGGACTATAAAGATGGTAATGAAAAGATTGAAATAAATATAATAATAAGAGGGGGGAATAATTCAAGTTGATGACTATAAGGTGTACGTTTACCAATGAATTTGCACCCATTCTGTGCCAGGAATATCAGGGTATAAGGGGGAGCAAATGAACGGCTACTGTGCTAGTTGTGTCGTTGTCAAGGGATCACTCTTGACACTGGCGAGAGCATCACATTCCAAAATAGGTGATATCAACGCCTAGTGATATACCCGTTGGGGTCATTTTGTATGGGACTGTCTGTCAGTAAGATATTTATGGTCTTTAGTGTATCTGCCAATATACCGCTCCAATTCTGCGCTTGATGCACATCTTGGTGTCTAGTTCAGGTTAAGTCACATAAAGTGATACAACACTCACACCAACGCCGCAAGAAATATATGCGCCCGGAGGTGTGCATGAACGCAGATGTGCTTCGGCCAATAATAATGGAACTACAGAGCAGACTGTATTCTGCTATTTAAGCTGGAGAGAACTATTCCGCTACCTACGCTGGAGAGACAGTACTACTATATACTTGACTCTGACCACTTGATGTTGTTTGGATCTGGTTTATGTGAATATTGCAATACATTTATTTAGTATAGAGTTGTCACTCGTTGCACTTGGGCTTGACTCTGATCTGGCGGTAGCAGCCTATGTATCCGGCTCTGTGCGAGTAAGTAACACTCAAGTAATACACTGCTCATATCCGCACAGATCTCGTGGGCTGCGATTGGGCAGCCCTTACAGTGACTTCAGACAACTGTAACAATGTTTCATTACGAGCCGCTTTCCTCACAATCTTCCTACGTGAATGCGGGCATCTACTACGATGTACTCTGACGTTTAGGCAACCGCGCTCTGGTAGCACATTCTCTAATGGTCAGGATCAATTGTAAGGCATATACTATGGATGACAAATCGTGCGTGTACAGACTCACGGTGTGCGCTTAAGCGGTCTCAGTTTACTACCAGTCGTTGTAGGTCATCTCTCTCCTATGTATCCAGGGTGTTATACATGGTAGTATTGTTGAGGACTTGATGATAGGATAAACCTACTACAGTGGTGTTGGCGTTTATTCGAAAAAAAACACAAGTTTTCTCAAGCCTGCACTTTTGACAGTAGAGTGGAATATCAAGGACGTCAACAGGCTAAGAGGCTAAACGGTTCTCATAGATCAGTGACTCCACAGACAACTCATTCTGCGATGTAATCAGCGCTACAGCATGGGAAAGGTAGCCAATGGCAACGGTAAGACATGAGCGTCCATTTTTCATTGCTAAGTACTCTAAAAAGTGTCCGTATACGACCGTTGCGCGTATATGTATGTCAATAGATTCCTCACACGATAGCTCTCGCTATTGCGGACACGTGGTCACTACCCAACTATCAAACTTATGTAAATATTCCAGTGAATGCGCCTGCATTGCCATATACACACACGCGCGCTTGTAGCAGCCGACTCTGTAAACATGAAGCCAGTGTCCTACCAACAATTCGTCGACCGCATCAGGGTGAATGCAGTCCTATGCATTTCTCCCGGCCCCAAGTGCAGTGTGGTGCCCATCACTTCCCGTCTGCGTACGCTGCGTGTTTGCACGGAAAACTAGAGATGGAGTGTTTGTCTCACGCGAGTGTTCACTGACACCCTACGTTGGCACTTCTAGACCTCCCCTTAATTCAAAGGTTTTTGGTATACTTTCATCGTAAGACACGCGAGCGCATACAACATGTGAAATAGTACATCATCTCTGACACAGACCAACACATGCCAATGAATTTGCGGCAATCTCGTCATTAAAAGCGGCCCTCATCAGTCTAAAAGCCCCTGAAATAATATCACACTTGTCGCACGTACAGACTAGCATGTGCCCAATGTATCCACACACAGCTGATTGAGTATAACAAACAGCAGCAACCGGCTGACGGCCCACCAGCCCTAAGATTAAATTAGCATGCGTCCCATCTCTAGTTGTATTGTACTGACTTGAACTATGACAGGTTATATCGACGAGCTTTGTACATCTCATTCGATGACGATCATGAAAGTGCTCTCTGGCACTGTATGTGACAAGGTCGTATCCAGTGTGTGCGGGATGATCATCACCGCATGCAGACGTTATGACCCAGACGATCACAATAGTATGCTGACACCACCTCTATAAGTTCGAACTAATATATGCTAATATTTTGCACAAACAACTGCTTGTTCGTGCCCCATGCGAGTGCGCTCTGGCACTGCTATGCTGGAAGACTTCACCGATGTGTGCCGGACAAAAAGACCCATTTGCAGACCCCGTGAGCCTCAAAGACGAAGAAAGTACTGATTGACTGCACTATCCACGAAAGCGAGCGATGCGAATCTCAGGATTCCCGCCCATATCCGCAGGCGTATTCTCTGGCGACCCCACCTTCTCCAGATTCTATCAACCAAGTATCAAACACCGCCGTACCCTACCCCCTCTAGGCAACGCTACCAGTTGTGTGTCATGAATTCGGACCACCCTGCAGCGACCTCGGCCCACTCTCCTCTGTCTTGGTGTTCTCCGGTTCATCGTACTCGGTGCCCACAGGCGTGTCCCGCATCAGGTCTGCCTCGTTGGCGCGGTCTTCCAGGAACTGCCGGTAGCGCGCTCCCATACCCTTTGTCTCAGGTATCAGTAGCAGCATCCAGAGTGAGCTGGCGATGGACAGGACCCCCACAGCAGCGCTAGACCACGCGATTCCGACGGCGTTGGCAATGGCACCGGCGACATACGGGCCGAAGATAAAACCTTTCCGAGGACGAGAGTGGATGTGGTGTGTGACCCGGGAGCATGGTTAGCAATGAATGCGTCACGCTCATCGTAGATGAGGGTTTGGAGAAGTGCTGGGGTTGAGACAAGCACAGAGGGAAAGAGGCTTTGGCCCTAACTATCTTGTGGCAGCGTATGCATGTGATGTTCTTGACAAGGGCCCTCGCGCTAGTCGAGGCTGTGCTGCACGATAGCATATACGTGAGGATACGCCCATGCACATCAACCCCGTACTTGGGAAAACGGAATATGTGTGTTATGTATTGAAGTGCCACGCACAATATTGTAACTAGATGAGATCGTGGTCAAAAAGCAACAGCACGCACAGTCAAATTCGATAGTTGTGTATGGCGACCGCAATGCGGGAGGCGCAGGGCCAACACGCTTTTTATTAGAAACACGAACAATATCCCTTAATAGAAACAACCACCAGCCTGACGGTGCATGTCCCCCCATAGTTGACTGGGAATACGAACTTGCAGCCTAATACACAGACATGGCACGATATTTGTAACACACAAGACTTGTTTCATGGGTGATCACAAGGCGAAAAAATAAAATGTTTGACAGTCGTTGCCACAGCAATATTTGCATATCAAACACACTCTATTGCCAGTATGAGTCAAAACTGGCCTACATGCAGATATCCATGTACAAAACCGAACCACGCTACACCTTTTACGTTCCCTATATGACCCCGTGTTTGCGACCAAGTCTATTGTACAACATACCAGTATCAACAATGACCATAAACAGTGCCAGAAACTCTCCCCTGCGTCTCGGATGTAGTTGCGCGATATCACTCGACAGTGTGAGGATAAGACCCCCGCTCGCACCGTTAGAGATCCCCATGGCCATAGATGCAATCAGAATAGCCGCAACCGCCTCAGTGGATGTGTGGCTGCCCGCAGTCAGTGTCTCGTCGGTGCCACTCGTAGTCGAGTTCGACATACCTGCGCTGAGTGGTGCGGTACCTTCGAGCTCAGCCGCAAGGCTTGCACCTTCCATGGGAGGGTACATAATACTCACCCCCGCGAGTATGAAGAAAGACGCCGCCATGACCAGCCCCGTCAGACACCCACAGAACAGCCTGCCGTGGCGATCCATCATGTACCCCGACACAGGCGCAAACAGCGCGTCCATGCCCCACCCAATACCCACTATCACGGACACCGTCAAGTCCGACAGTCCCATACCAGTGGCCTGCAGAGGTATGAGTAACACCCGGGATTGCCGTACCGTGTTCATGACCTGGCAGTAGGTGCCGACCAGGAGCAGATGCTTCCAGTACAGCCCCACCGTGATCGCGTATTTTCTCACCTGACGGATTACCGGTCCGAACAATTTGGCCACGCACTCACACTGACCGCACCAATCGCGCTTCTCCCCGGCACCGCTATAGAACGTCTCATTGGTGTGTATCTGCCCGTCGTTGGTAATGAGCGCGTGACTGATCGCAGCCTCGTGTCCGTCGCCGCCGATAATGGCGTCCCCATCCTCCAGTATCGAACTGTACTCGCCTAGGCCCAGCGCCGAATCCGCGTCGACACTCCCAGTGCTTCCCCTACGGTGCAGGGTAGCGTTCTTGCCCACGCCCACGGGTATGTAATAGAACGCCCAGAGCCCGTACACAACACACAGAATTATCTGCAGAAAGAACACGTTGGACGACATGGTGTAATGCGCGATAAACCCAGCAACAATGGGTGCAAAGAGGGCCATAAGTCGACGGATAAACCCAAGGATAGACATGATCCGGCCTCTATGATCGTCATCGACTGTCGAGGTCACAAAGGCTGTCCTTGAGAGCATGAACAGCGACATTCCGAACCCTGAAAGTAAACAGTTGAGAGGAGATTTCGTGCGACACTGGGTGCGTGAGTTTGTTTATACTCCTCGTTTCGTAACTATTGTTAAATAAGCGACGAGTGTGACATGCCAGATTTTCTCACACGCTGGCATTGAACAAGTTATACCAAGCAGAAAAATATACTTCCTCTCGCAGCACAAAAAACTCAGCTTAT